TACACTTGAACTAAAACAGTTTTGTTGGTCGAAACAAGAGACGGAGCTCCACAGGAACGTCCACCGGTGATGGGCGCACTTTTTCAGGAAAGTCTCGCCCCCTGACGGTGATTTTTATCTCGTCTCGCAAATATAAAAGCAGAGCATCACCTACTGGGCTCAGTGTTTCCCCTACCATTATACAAGCGGGGCGCTCCGCCCCGTTAACAGAACCAAGTGCCCCCCTACCGAACCGTGCACACACCCCCCACCTGTCAGCACTGTTGCAACGCTAAGCTAGTGGTGTGCAATACAGGTGCGCTAGCTAAAAAGCTAAAGGCCTCTTCCCTCCTGCTGTCCCCCCCGGCTTGAAAACTGCCGGTACAAACAGAGCACAGCTCAGATCTGTCTCCCCCCACCCCCATCCCCATTGACAAAAATCACATACGAGATGAGCGCCCCACCATGGCAAGTTATCGAGGGGAAACACTGGGGTGATGTAAAAATCTGAAGTAAGAAGGATAGAGATTTAAAAAAGCTTTACTGAAAGGAATGCATTATTTATGATGTGAAAACTGTGGGACCATGAAGAGCATTTATAATGGATTTCAATGTGGTCGATTTCCCCTCAAAGCACCACTAGAGGGCAGTAATGTCACCGTGAGGGTACGGAGCATTTTAACAAGTCTGACAGAATGAAAGAAAATTAGTACGATTTTTAGGCTTCGTCAGGAATAGTCACGTAACGTTTACTGACGACATTAGAAAAATAAAATAAAAATAAATGTGAGATTTTTACTCATGAGACCTTATGCGTTAAAATAAACGGATACTTTATTAGACGTGAGTTTCAAAAGTTAGTCTGTAAACTTGAAATGTCTCCATGTTGACATCTCGTCCGTCCCACAGCCGGAGGACCCCGGCAGCCTCTGCGGAGCGTTTCCGTGGCTCCGCCTCACCACGTCTCAGACTGTCTTCGCCATGGCAACAGCAGCGACGCCCGGGCGGTGAGGGCGGTGTGCCTGCTGATGGGCGGGGCCGCGGCCTCCTCCGCCCTGGGCCACCTGAACGCCTGCGCCCCCTCCTCGCCGACTGTCACCCGGGTCCCCGAGGTGCCCCTCGGCCAGGGGGGCTTCTCCGACCCTCCGTCGGGGGGCTCGTTCCACGCCTGCAGCCAGGACGTCGACTCGCCCCACTTCAACAGCTTCGACTTTGAAGCCGACTCCGACTTTGATGCGTTCGACTGTGGAGGGTTTGCTTTTTGAACGTGGCCCCCAACAGAACCCCGTGGTCCTTTGTGATAAGAGTCTTTGTTAATAACTAACCAGCTGTCGGGTCATCGGCACGCCTGAAAAATTAATGATGCTGCTCTTCCTGCCGTCAGGCCACGCTCCTCGGGTGAATAATTAATCACGTGGACTCCTCTGAACGCCGGCTGCGTTTCACGCTGACATCAGCCGGCTGAAAGATTTCCCTCCAGACGTTCAGACGTACACTTTTACAGTTTGTAGGTTTTCTGTACTGAGAAATACAAATTATCTGGTATTTATTTCGTTCTAAAATTATTCTGATCCAATCACAAGTGAACAAAAACATCATGTTATAATTTATAAAACAAAGTTTAAAAAAAAAAAGTATAAAAGGCTAGCTAAAAGCTAAAAATAGTAGGTACATTGCTAGCTAAAAGTAGAAAAAGGCTAACAAAAGTTACAAAGACTAGCTAAAAGTTACAAAGGAAAGCTAAAAGTTACAAAGACTAGCTAAAAGTTACAAAGTCTAGCTAAAAGCTAAAAATAGTACATTGCTAGCTAAAAGCTAAAAATAGTAGGTACATTGCTAGCTAAAAGTAGAAAAAGGCTAACAAAAGTTACAAAGACTAGCTAAAAGTTACAAAGGAAAGCTAAAGTTACAAAGTCTAGCTAAAAGCTAAAAATAGTAGGTACATTACTAGCTAAAAGTACAAGTAAAAAAAGGTTAACGAAAGTTACAAAAACTAGCTAAAAGTCCCAAAGACTAGCTAAAAGTTACAAAGGCTAGCTAATAGCTAAAAATAGTAGGTACGTTGCTAGCTAAAAGTAGAATTCAAATTCAAAAATACTTTATTAATCCCAAAGGGAAATTATTTGTTGTTGTAACTCGTTATCCTTATTTCATTGAGATGTTATAGATGCTGATGTCTGTAGACAGGAAGGATCTCTTGTA